CCTTAGATTCCCCAGATGTAAAATGGGGATGATAATACCACCTCTTTACCTCATAGGGGTTTTGTGAAGATAAATTAATTAACGTTTGCAATGCAATTTGTAGTGATGCATTTACTGGCTACAGCGATGACCACTATAGGAAAGCCAAAGAGGAAAATAATTCTGTATTGAGAGCAGGAAGTGAACAGTAAATAAGGCCTCGAGCCACACAATGAATGCAGATAAAAAGAAATACTGAAAAACTATCAATTCACAGAATGTGACAGGGAAAAAACCAGTGTGTGATCATATCATTAAAGACTACCATAATGCATATACACAATGGGACTGAACTGCATATGAAACCTTAATTCTGGCATTTGCTAGCTTTTGCATGCTTGACTTTGCCACCTTAACATTCGTTTAACAGTTTTTAAAATGTAATTTCCTTTACCAGTGGATTTCACAGCTATTTGCTGACAGCAGAGGAATGTAGTAATTCAAGACTCCTGGATTCAACTGCAGGCTCTGGAGGAGAGAGTGCACTCTAAAACCTTCTGCCTGTGCCCCCAAGCTTGTCTCTGTCCCCATCTCCTCTTATCCAACTTCTGCCATACCCCTTGTTCCCATGCCTCTCCTCCAGGGGCTCAACCAGAATTTTCCTAAGGCGGTGATCTAGGGGGTGGTGATTTGAGGGAGAGGTCTCCCTGGGGCCCAGCATGTAATTGGGAGGCAGAGCATGAGAGAGTCTCCCTGGGATTGTCAGATGTTCCTGAAATTCTCATTCGGAAAGATTTTGTGGCCAGCATTTATGGGGCAGTGGCCAGGACCCCTCTGTGCCTGGTATGGAGGGGGCTCAGTGGTACATAGTTCGCATCCCCATCTCCAGGGGCACAGATGAAGCTCCACCCATTGCACAGAGATACAGGAGCTTCACCTTTTAGGAGCCATCATCTCTTTGAGCTCCCATCAGTCCAGGGCTCATCCCACTTATCCCAGAGGTCCCCACGCTAGATGAGAGGATTGACTGTATTGCTCCAGCAACTCGGCATTGCAGAATTTGCCATCCTCACAACAGCAGAGGAAGCTCAGCAGCCTAGCCTTGTTCAGTGACTCCACGTGCTGGGCCAGGGCAGCCACGAGTAGGGCCCAGAGCACATAATCATGTGCCCAATGCCTGCTCCATGGAGCTGCCCATCTGTGGGAGGGACCAAGATATGTCTCAGCAATCCCATGCAGGATACAACTCTGGGGAGGCTTGAGCGCTAGACAGCCACAGGCAGGGCTAGGCAGACTCGTTGCAACCTCTGCCCCGAACTCTGGTTGTGTTGGTGATTCCCCAGTCACCAATTCGGTTCCAGGGAGCAGGCAGCCTGGATCTGGTTTGTGTATTACTACATGCTCAGAACTCAGCCCCCTTCCACAGGGCCGCCCAGAGGGGGGGGGGCAAGTGGGGCAATTTGCCCCAGGCCCTGGGCCCCGCAAGCCCCGGCCAAGAATCCCTTTCCTCACCCGGCAGTGCTCTGAGTCTGCAGCGGCGGCATTTCGGCGGCAGGGGGCCCTTCAGTTGCTCCGCGTCTTCGGCAGCACTGAAGGGCCCCCCGCCACCAAAATGCCGCTGCCGCAGACTCTGAGCGCTGCCCTGTGAGTACAGGCTCCCCCGCTTTGCCCCAGGCCCCCTGAATCCTCTGGGCGGCCCTGTCCTTCCATTCCCACCTGAAAGACCAGGATCCTGAATTTGTAGTAGTGTTTATGTCTGAGGGGTGGGGATCTGTGCCCCTCTTCCTATCTATTGCACCCTTGCTTCTATTAAAACCCAAAATCGTCACCTGGCTCCCAGTACGCAACCCTCCTCCCTGCTTTCTAGCAAAACCACATATCTCCACATCCAGATCACTTCCCTTCTGCACTTAATAAAACTGAACATCTGCACAAACACCTCCACACACACACACATACACACACACACGAGCTCCTGCTCTGCTCAGTCCTCTCCCCCTCTGCCTCCTGCCGCCCACTCCACCATCCTGCTCCAGTTCTCCCTCTTCTCCACTGTCCTCTATATTCAAACCGAGCTGCTTCCTCCTCCTCTTCCTCAATGCAGCTTTGGGCCAGTCAAGGAGAACACAGGTGAGTTTCTCCCTGTTCTCAGTTCCTGTGCCTGCACCACAGCAGCCCTCAGCAACCTGGAGTCCTGCTCAACCTATGCACGTCCAGGATAGAGCATGCTAAGAGCAGATGGCATCTTTGGAGAGTTTAGTAGCCAAACGCTAACAAATCTCTACTGAGCATGTGCAAACTGAGAATTTTCAAAGCTTGTTACCTGGCCAACTTTTAGCAAATTTTCACAGAGATGACAAAAGGCCTATCCAGGGCAACACACCTGCCAGATTTCAGGCCCTTCTTCCAAAGCATGTAGGTGCGAGAGCTTGTTAGTGAAACGGCTGGAAGAAGTTTTTTTTAAACATTAAACAACATATTTCCCCCAGTCTTGTTCTCAGAAACAGCTCAATGGTTTTAGCAGAAACTTAAAAAAAAAATAGAAGAAGAGGGAGAAGCCTGAGGCAGCCCACTGGAATGGTTAGTTCGGCAAAGTTATAAGCCACTGAAAATAATGGAAAATGTCAAGCAATCTTAACTACAGGGGGCAGTATCTGCTCCACCTATAAATGAAAAGCTAAACTTATTTTAGGGTAAGAAGTCTCCACCTTAATAAGTTATAACTGAAATACAGTTATATCAGTACAAAGCTCATTAGCATTGCTAAGTGGTTGACAAAATTTCCCTCCTTAACACTTGATTCAGGGGCTTGATAACTCAGCTAGTTTAGATGGCATGAGTAACAGAACAAAATAACTTAAAGCTAGAAATTAAAGTCACCTAGACTCTCCTCCTTCTGATAAGTAATCATATATATAATCAGTTGTGTCTATTTCATAAAGCATAAGCTTAATTTATTCAAGCAAGTCACCTCACTGTCCCTACACACAGCAATTTATGTAGCCCACTTTCAGACTAGTGTAAGCTAGTGTACTGAGAGACTACTTTGTTTTCTGGGGACCCTACGAACAAGAACTCTTCACTCAAACACTAGGAAACGCAAGTGTTAGAACCTAAACACAGATAATTGCATTTAAATCAGACACATTTTTTGTTGGTAGGCTGCTCTAACTCTTTCTGTACCACACCACTGAGATCAGAATGATATAGGGCACAAGGAATGCATTTTAATAAGGCACAAATAGTAACTCAGCAACAGAACACTCTTCAATGGAGTGTTCTTCCCAATTCACCTCAGAAGGGCTCTCCTTGAACTCTGTAGCTGGCTGCCACCTGAATACCAAGCATGCCATTACTCTCTTGTTCTACCTGCTCATTCCTATTATGGGTATGGGTCTCTCTTCACGCATGCTAAGTAGAACAGCTCTCTGTTGTCTGTCATTTCCTTTTCCCATAAGTAATTTTATAAAGTGTGGTCTTATTTATGAGTTAGTCTAGCTAATGTTGTAGCTACATTTTATAATAATAATACGGAGATACCAGGACCAAGTACTGTCCCTGACAGATTCCCCCTGCTGTGATCCCTAAATGGCTCCCTCAAGGATTGAACTGACAACCCTGGGTTTAGCAGGCCAATGCTCAAACCACTGAGGAATACCAATATCTTCTGGTTCCTCCAAATGATCAGTTTCCATGAATAACGACACTTATTAAAAAGTTACCCGTGGGACTGTATTCTCATTGACATGATGTAAATTTTAATATTTTGAGATAAAAATATCTATTATTTATGTGCCAAGTAAAAAGGAGACAAATTAAAAAATACTTTAAGGGAGTGGGGGAAGGCAGAAGTATACACTGTCCCTTTTTACAAAAAAGGTGCATATTATGGGTTTTGAAGCACAAACTGTTTAAAGCACATGCTGACAAGTCAGTACCTGCCAGAAATCCTGATGAGAGGGGAGAGGGTTAGAAAGAGGGAAGAAGATCAGGGAATGTTGGTTACACCAAAAACCAAAACCAAAATTAAAATAAAATACCCACAAATATTACATATTATGCAACATTGCAACACAGCAAAACCAATTAATGACATCAGGAACAAAGAATCTCTCAACACCTAGGAACAGGAAGTAAGGAGCACATATAGCAATCAGTAACATTCAGGAATATCTGCCAAACAAACCCAGTGAAAATGAATAACAAAGTTAGTAATACAAAAAAGTAATAGCAAATATTTCTAGTTTTGGCAGAAAGTAATTATGCCACAGACTGTTGGTGGATAGGGTGGGAGAGGAAAGAGGGAGCACACACTTGACCTGTACATGGATGCAAAGTAATCTTCATAATAAGGGATTCCACAGGGTTGTTTGTGTGCCATGCATATAAAATTTAATATAAGCAACCAAGCATTTTCTTAGCCTTAAAGATTTTTTTAAAACAAAAACAAACTGAAATAATACCTGAATCTAAAGATTCAAACATTTCAATGAAAGGATACATCTTCCAAGTTCCGTGTACAAGCATGAGAATTCACAGGTCAAGATACACAAAGGCCACATCAACTGGAGACCTTATAACTACATGACTAACTGATTCAGCTCAGAGGGCATCAAAGTTTGGCTTATTTCAGGGCTCTGAATTGATAATGATCTTGAAGATTATTGAACAAAACATAACCAGCTCCTCCAGCTAGAAGCACGTTGTGGTCATTTGTGCATCTAAAAGCATTGGTCTTTGATACTTGGCCCATAAGCATTTCAGGAGAAGGGCCTAGTCTTCTGACATGTCTATACCAATGTGCGCATCAAACAGAATAGTATTCATAATGTTAGAATAAAAGGGTTTAGGGGTTTGGTTTTGGAGAATGGAAGGGGAGAAAGCAAGTAAGGGGGCAGGCAAGTGAAGAAAACTTGTGAACACACAATAGTATGAGGTTAATTACAGTAAGGATAGAAAAGCACAGTGCAGGATAGAAATATCTGCCAGTGCCACTGATGTTTTAAGTCAAATTTTCTAACCTTATCTGACCCATCACAATAGGATTCCACTGATTCTGCTGTGTTGATCGTCCTCCTTGCCCACAGATGGCTGAGCAAAATTTGCTGCTTTCACAAGGTAGAGAGACACCCAGCCAGTCACTGGCAGAGTCAGGAACCCAGACCAATGCACTATCCGCTACACCATGTTGCCTACCTACTCATTCATTTATATAGATCACTCTAATCAGAAGAGCTTAGATGATTTAGGAATCTCATTTTCAAAAGTGACTTTAAATGAGACTTAGGCTTACTAAGTGCATAAGTTATTTTTGAAAATGGGACTTAGACTCCTATCATTAAGGGCTTTTGAAAACATTACCTGTTGTATTTAAAGTTATTCATTCTACCGCTTCATTATATTAATCCTATTTAATCTGGGTCCTGGAACATGTGATCTGAAAGAGACAGTTTCTTTGTGGTGCTGATGTCTTTCAGATGCTGCATAATTCCTTATTTTATTCTCCCACTTCCCACCCTCTGAAGCCCCGATTCAAGCACTATACAACATTATAAAATCCAATACAAAAATAAAAATGCTTCAAAAATGCAAACAATTATATTACAAGGCTAGGACAGAAATGAGAAGGGCAAAATATGGAGTAGGAAGGAAAATACGTAGTCAATAGTAGTCATACCCCAAAACCCTTTTCAAAATAAAGTTTGATTTTTAAAAAAAGTGGTGAGATTATCTGAGATTGATGCCTCCCACCACAGCAAAAGCATGACTGCTTGCCAATATAAAATGAGAGGATGCATAGAGACCTCTCCATGTGAGACTTAGGGGGGTTCTTCACATATAACTGAGTGCTGCATGCTAGGAGGTTGAATTTTCTCCTACATAGCAGTAAGTATTATTGCTTCAAGATTTGGTCAAGAAATTTGCTCAATATTTCTAAAGCTAATGTTAGACTTCAGGTATTTCACCATCACATTTATTTTATTATTATTTCCCTGTAAAGCATCCCAATACAATACTTGAAAAGGGTGCTTAGAATAACTACAAGTAATTATAATGTTTAATACCAAAAGCAACTTTCCTACCACGTGAGAGTAACTAATTAGAGGGTGTCTTACTTCTATAGCATTAATCAATATAGAACTGTATCTGGAGAATAGAGAACATGGAAATATGAATCTGGATAGGAGTTACTTAATTCCAAAGTAAAATTAGAGTCTGTAAAAGCTTTTGTAATTACTTATTGCCTCCTTGGGTCAATGATAATTTAAGGGTATACCATCATTGACAGCTTGCAAGCTTTTGTTTATATTCAACTACACAGGGTAATTTTCCCCACAGGAGGTAAAAACCGCTACTCAAGTGTATCCCACACTAAAGCAATATTCTGTTTAATTCTTTCCCCTAAAAAGACTAACAGTTTCTCAGAAGTGTTGCAATTTAGCCTTGCCTCCATGCATCTGAAGAAGTGGGTTTTTTACCCACAAAAGCTTATGCTCAAATAAATCTATTAGTCTTTAAGGTGCCACCAGACACTTCGCAATTTAGCCTTATCACTGAAAACACTTGATTGCAGCACAAAATCTACAAGTAATTGAAATTCAAATGCTTCTGCAAAAATTCAATAATATTTTTAAGATGAAAACAATTAATCTGAAAAATCACAATCCCTACATCTTTGGAAAGAATGTCCACTGACGCTGTCCCTCTTGTGCTGACTCCTCAAATCTGTCCCATTACACTAGGATTCCACTGATCCTGCTGTGTTAATGGTCCTCCTTGCCCACAGGTGGCAGGGCAAGATTTGCCCTTGTCATAGGGTAGATCGATATCTTCTACCCTATGGGCACACTATCACAGAGTTAAATAGTATCATACACTTTTCTCTTTGAGAGCTGGCAGTTTGGCATGAAGATTAATTCGAGCTTAATTCAAAAACTCTCTCAAACAGAACATATTAGAAAAAATGGAAATTGTTTTTCAAAGAAATATCATGTTTCTTTGAATGGTCTGCTAAGCATGTCTTGGTGCCTTCATACAACCACAGACACACTTTTACAGGCAGGAAAAATTTCCTCCTCCAATAAGCATTTGTTTTACACAGACACAATACAAGAGAGGGAAAAGTGATACAACGAAAGAGCCAGGTGACTGAGCAGTTAGGGTTAGATATGTTAATTCTGAGTGCTTTTATTAAATTACAGATTAGGCTATATTCATATTGTAATTTGAGCTAAATTATGAGGTGAGGCCTGAGAGCAACAGTGAATAGTTAGCAGCAGCAGCAGATTAGCCAAAAGAAAAAGTTTATGAGGGAGGGAACATACAAACACATGTCACCAAGCCAGCTTCTCCACTCCCTGTACAAACACTTGGGAGGCTAGCTCCCTGAACACTTAGCCCTGCTGTAGGTGAAAGAAAATTATGCAGTTGTGGTTGGCCAGGAGGATGGACCAAAGGGTTTTGCTGAACGAATGCCTCTAGGGCTGCTGGTCTCCAGGGAGCAATGTGTAGATTCAAATTATATGCATTTTGCGCCTGTTACTGAAGAGTTATGCTTGTCTCTCTCCCCCACCCTTCAGTGCTCTGAAAAATTATCCCTAGTTGGGTAGAAGTATACTGCACTCACTATCACATTCAGCTCTATACACAGGAAGACACAAACGTCACAGAGCTGCAATAAAATATATGGTCACTATCAAAGACTTTTGGACTTAACCAGTTCCAGTCATTCCAAGTGGCCTATCAGGATATGTCTACACTGCAGTCAAGAGGTGGGATTCCCAGCACGAGTAGACAGATTCATGCTAACTCACTGCACTGCAACACTTGCAAAGACTCAGGCTAGCCATCCAAGTTCAAGCCTGCCTAACTCCCAGGGTCTGAACTTGGGTGGCTGCCACCCATGCTGCAGTGTCCACACTGCTATTTTTAGCATGCTACTTCAAGATGAGCTAACACTAGTCTATCTGCACTGGGAATAACACCTGCCAGCTGCAGCGTAGACAACCCTTACAGGATTGACTTCTAATTTTACAAGAATATTTGTGAAAAAAACTGCAGATACAGATGATTTCCCAGTGCAATGATATTTATCTGGAACATACATGCAGAACATTTACACTGAATCCTTAACCTTTGTTTTACAGAATGTAATTAAAACGCATCTGACTACACAGCTGGGTCTATTCTTTTTATTGGCATTTGCTCTAAATTAGTATTTACATAGAGCATAGGCATAAATCTTTGTTTATAACTAACAATAGGTCTATTTTCTACTTTTGTTTAGCCAACCTGTAGTTTATAGAGTATCAGTACTTTGGTACTACTGCTGACTTAAACCTGACTGCTCATTTTCTCCTTTCATCTCAAAGGAAAGAATACATTTCAGATGGAAAAAGTCTATTCTCTCCTCAACGTGTCTATATACTGTAATTCCCATTAACGTTAATGGACATCATGCAAGATGCTCAAGGGAACAATACACCTCTCAGCCTTCTACTCAAATTTCCCATCTCCACCAATGCACAAAATAATACCAGCACACAAAGGCATGGCTTCACAGAGTTAGAACAGTATCTAAGGAGAAGATTGTGTCCAATTATAAAAAGTGCTTTGATATTTCTTGGGAAGCCAACGAGGGAGATGAGTGAATGGAAACAACAGACGAGAAAAGATGCGAGGACTAATTTTATTCCTTAACAGATACCAATGTAACTAAAACATGAATGTGTGTAATTTGTTTTATGATGCCTAAATCAACATTTGAATGCGTTTGAGGCGACAGTGCTTTGTTAACTGAAAACAGATGCAGATAATATGAGAAAAACTACTCCTAGAAAACAAGATCTAGGAGTGACTTCACTCCTTATCCAGGCTCCTCTGCACGACTGAGGGAGCTCCAATATCTCCTTGCTTTAACCTCACCCCAAACTTGACCCCCCTGCCATTACCACTAGCCTCATAACCAAAGTCTGTTACTAGTGCTCCTTAGTAAGACAAGTCTGACAAACAACGTGAGCCATTATTTCCTCCTTTAAAATAAATGATCCAGAAGCAGCATGTATATCAGCCCCTGCAATACAATACCATAAAATTAACGTGGTCTGTTGTTCTGCACAGTACTACTACTACTAATAGTAGTCCACTACACTCTCCATTTTAAAACTCTAATGACTGATGTTAAGACTTATTCTACCATCCAATGTATTTTGCATATATATCTAGGTATAGCAGCTATACAAAACGTGTTTATATACACCATTTCAGTCTGCAACAGAAAGTCAGAATGGAGGATGGTCAGTGCAGGGAACAGATGCTAAGGGCCAGCATAACTCAGAACATTTCAGCCTGCACTGAGACCACCAGTTGTCACACTTTCACCATGCTGTATGGCAAGATTGGGTGTGCATATTGTGTAAGAGTAGAAGTCATGTCTCAAATAGAACTGGTCTGAAATTTCCTGACTTAAGTTTGTTGGAAAATGCCGATTTCTTGCGTTTCTATGAAACATCTCAGGTTCAACAAACTTTTGGCAAATCGAAGTCTGGAAACACTACTGTCCCCATCCCCCAGGCATTCTGCTGGGCAGCTTGAGAGACCCGTCTTCCAGGTCTATGGCTCCAGAGCAGCCTCACCATGCAGACTGCCCCAAGATTGGGGAACCTGGTCTTCAGGGGGTCTGCAGCTCCAAGACAGTTGCACTATGCCAGTGCTTCCAAGCTCTTTCCCATGAAACAGGGAGTCTGAAGTCCTGGGACAAGCTGACCCAGGAGTCTGGATGGTCCCCAGCCATCTGGCGTCCTATGGCCGTCTACAGAGTGTGGCTGCCCTGGACTCATAGATCCTGAGAGCCCTGGCAGCTGCTGAGTGAAATTCAGATTGTCAGTTTCACCACATCTATTAGTATGACTAATAATGTCAATTTCACTGACAGCTGTCAATGTTCCAGGGAGCAGATTTTGTTTTAGAAATACCATAGGTTGGTGTTTCCAAAATGAACCTTTTTTCCAAAATTTCTGGTTCATGGAAAATTTTGAATAGTTTGTATTTGTTCAAATCTTAACAAACCCAAATTTCAAAATCACAAAATTTCCCGCAAACTGGAAATCCCAGCAACGAGGCTCAGCAGAACAAAAAGCTGAGTTCAGCTAACAAACTGCTTCTGCTTTGAGACTTTTACCCACTAGGATGGGAATAGAATGTATAGTACTCAGGAATAGAGGAACTATTATCCAAAATTGTGTGGAACTCAGCATTTCTTTCTAAGAAATGTTGGTTGAAACAAAGACTGACAAAAAGCATACTACTTACTGTCTATTTTAAAGTAGAATACACCTCTACGTCAATGCAACGCTGTCCTCGGGAGCCAAAAAATCTTACCGCGTTATAGGTGAAACCGCGTTATATATTTGCTTTGATCCACCAGAGTGCGCAGCCCCCCCCCCGGGAGCACTGCTTTACCGTGTTATATCTGAATTCTTGTTATATCGGGTCACGTTATATCGGGGTAGAGGTGTAATACTCTGCTGCTTGGGTAAACAAACACATGTATGCTCTAAGGAACAAAGACCATTTATTTGATTACTTGCTTTGCTTTTTGTCCATCCACTTCCTCATGAAAAATTAAAATAAAAATCAATTCAATTGAATGCAAAACATGGAAGTAATTTAGATTCATTTCCTCCCCAATTGTGCAGGGTTTGTTTGTTTTGTTTAATTATAGATTCAAATAGCAGGACTTTCTGGATATGTTTGGTCACATTTAAACATTACATGCCAGATATATCACTCAGCAATGAAAGAGTCAAAAGTTACCTTCTTTGACTCAAAAATTCAAAGAATTTTGTTACAGATGAGGTGACAATTTTGCTAAATTAGTGACTGTTGTAGAGTAAGTTGAGTTAATAGGAAGCTTGTGTGCTATTCCATTTTTATGCAGCCACCAACTATGGTAGTATCAGTGCTCAAAATGATATAAAGGAATATTAAACCAAATTATTTTAGATTAACAACTATACACCTAAGCAAATCTATGTTAGGTGTTTGTTTTAGATAACACAGCTTGGCCCTCTCTGTGTTAAAGGTTCAAGCAGTCTTTTAACCATATTACCTACTTGTGTTACAGCTCTGGGCCAAATTCCTTCCTGCTATAATTTCATTGATTTCTGGGGATTTACGGCAGGGAAAAATATGACTTCAGAGCTGTAAAAAGGGCTAGGTTACTGTGTGGTTCCATCCATACAGGCAGACCAAACAATGTTATAATATGATCAGCATATAGCAGGTTTCCCTCTGAAATATGGTACTCCCTCACATGGAGGGTCTCATACCATATGGATAATGCTATTAAGTTTGATTTTTTACACATTACAATTCCCTCTCCCACCAGCAAGGAGAAGTTATTTTGGTTCTATAAGCATTAAAGCAAATCTTTATTCCTTCCTTCCTATTCAGCCATATAATAAACAAATACTGCTATGTTCTAGCTCAAACAAAAGACAATATTGTATTTCATTTGTACTTACACACAACTTTAAATAGAAACTCAAAGAGGTTATAGGTAGAAAGATACTATAAATTTCAAGTCTACTCACCTTTCCATCATACCGCTTCACTACAAACTGATCCAGACCTAGGTCTGAAAGAGGAAAAAAAAATTGCTTTTAGAGCAGTGCTTGAATATAAAAATCATATAGTTCCATGCTTCTTTTTTGATAAGGCATTTAAAAGAAAAAATAGATTATGTGAAGGATAACATGATTAGAAAGCACAGGGAGCGGGAAGGAAATCAACTGTTATCTACATGTTTTTTCTTAGGGCTCAAGCAAGGTGTCTGATTCACAGTATTGACAAGGAAAACCTATTTAGTCACAGAAAACATACAAAAAGGGACAGTGACACCACCACATCTACCACTATGCTCTACTAGTCCTTTTGTACTATTGACCTAGAATAAAATGATTTCTACCCCATTACCAATCCTTACCCAGATATCAACTTGTTTCCATGAGACTGGCACTTAGAGTGTAATTAAAAAGAATTATTTTTAGGCTGAGCAATCTTTTTTGAACAGATTAACAGGGAAGGCCATTGAATTGAAATCAGAAGTGTCCCTCCCAGAATTAACAAAGGTAGACCTCAACCAAAATTCAATGTTGCCAGCTCTTGTGGGGTAAAGTGACATACAAATGGTCTTGGACATAAAAAGAAAAAACACAGCCGCTATTGTACATTCAGGAATAAGCAAGTGCATGAATTAGAAGGTTTTTATATTAACATATTCCTCACATTGTATTACCACAAAACAGAAGGATTTTATTCTTAGAAGGAAAATAATATTTATATTATATGAAGAAGGCATCTTTCATTCTACTTCTACAGTATAATCAAGTCTATGCATAACAATGAAAGTTTAATAGTCAACATGGAAAAACTTGCAAATTATTTGTACAACAATAAAAAATACATTCTGTAAAGAGATCTAGATAAGTGGAACTCTTGAATGACTGGGTTATTGAGAATTGGCAGTAATTCACACAAGAGTACAGAGACTGATTTTCAACTCTTGGTTTGACAAACATTTGCTACAAACCACACCTTTTCATCCAGTGTTTTAAATAGCTATCAGTTCTTCCTGTTAACCAGATTGGGAGAAGGGAGGGATTGGAAAAGAAAGAAAAAATAACTTGTCCAGGAAGGTGAAGATTACTGTCACCTGTTTATGTGTAAAAGTGATAAAATGCTTCCCATCTACTCAAAGGTTCATAATAGTCACAGAGCAGAAAATGGAGCTGTTCATCACTTCATGATGATCTCTTTGACCTTTCTGAGCCAATGCAGTAAAAATTCCTGTAATTAATTTCATAGGATTGAGTGAAAAATTAGAGAATTGTCAGATAGCTTGCTGGATTTGTGGTTATTAAACTGAGGAATCACGCTCTTGATATCTGTGTGCACTTTAAGAAACACAAACGTACATATTTATATACAATGTGCACTTTCAGAAGTTATATTTCCTTAAAGAATATTGCTCCTACTCAAGATTAGAGGCATACATACAGCATGATTAATGCTTATGAATTTCTGCAAACTCCTCCTTCAGTAAAAGTCTTACTTAACTGGATATGATAATATAAGGCTGCCATTGCTCTTTTAGTTGTTGCCAAGCTCAGAATTGAGCCAGCAGAGTTCTGTGTTGGAGACCTGTTCAGACACTGATGACTAAAACCGCGTAAGGAATTAACTGCATCCTGTAAGTTGCAACAACGGTAGCAGAAGTTGACCACTAGCTCCACTTTTAGTGTTATGCATTTTCAGTTTTTACCAATTTTCACTAATAAATTACCAGGTTTTTTATTAAAGAAGTTCGATTTTTACCGATTTATACCTGTTTATCAATCCACTCAGTATTTTTTGAGTACTTATTTTTGTTAAACACTAATGCTTTACATGATTGTTGTGTTCTGAAACACTGAGATTGAAGCAGTTCCACAGTGTATAAAACAGAACAGAAAATACTAACATTAATATCATGTTATGATTGGCTCACAAGGAGATGTTACCTGCCTATTTCTTTGCTTCTGGTTAGCGTAGCTCTGAATTTAAACAATCAATCCTGTACAGATAAAGATATGTACTGCCCCCCATCCACCCGGATACCTCCTTTAGTGCCAATCTCTTTACGGGGTTGGATGGATGGGCCTGGGTTCTTCTGGATCCCCACACATCCAGTCCTGCTCTTTCTGTGGCTGGCTCCAGACTACTCCCAAAATGGCTTCTCCCCTCTCCAGTCCTCCCAGGGGAGGCCATCTCACACCCTACTGTCAGGCTAGCTCTTCTTCTGGGCATTCCCTTGTCAATCATTTCACTCTGCTCTGTCCTGAGCTGGCCTGCCTGCAATCCAAACCAACAGGGGCCCCTGTTGTTCTACATAGTGTCTCTCCTCTCTCCCTCTTGGTTGCCCAGCAGACTCTGAATCTGCCCTTGGCTCCCCCTTCCCACCAGGGACAGGGTGCTTCTCCCTGAACTACCAGCACACAGAGCCCCAGGGACTTAGATAAGGTAAAAAGGTAAACATGGGGTGAAAACGCAAACCTATGCCTGAATACCAGCAAGCAAATCAGTGCTCAGAAGTTTTAAAGAAAAATAAAGATGGGAACGAAGAGGATGCACTGCACTGCAGCACTGAGGTCAGTCCTCGCGCTGACAGAATAAAGGAACTTGTTTTATGTCCTGTTAATTTTCCCTCACACAAGCAAGATTAAAGAAGATAGTGAGCTTCGGGATAAACAGTATCAGGAGCTTTCACCAGGACTTTAATGAAAGAGAGGACACAGCACGATTGTGTCAATGAATTTGTGCGTGCTCTGTGTTTCGCCAGACAACCGCTGTTAATTGCAGAGGGGCCTATTGGTGACTTTGTATGACAATACGGTCCAGCAGCAAAAACCCTTCCTAATGCAGACAAGCTCACTGGTAAGTATCTGAAAGAAAATGACAATGCTTCAGTATCCAAACTGATAGAACGAATTGATGGAAATCTGGTGTCTAGTCTGATTTTTGACAAGTCTCTTGATGCTTTGGACTGTCCAATTCTTGGCCTTTTATTTTTGTTTTTTTATTTCAAAGCAAATAAACCTGCATTGTTTTGTGCTGATGTGACATTCATCCCCTCTGCTGACACTGGTTTTGTCAACGCAGCAATAACTGACATGTTTGAGATGTACCAACTAACTTTGGAAAATGTGGCCACAACTAACACAGATTCTGCTTCCTACATGGCTAAGTTTGCATGGGAGATTCCACTCAATCAGAAACTGGAGCTGCTATGTATGAGCTGTTCTGCTCATCTGATTAACATTGCCCTGTCAACAGCTACTGCTACAGAAGAAATGAAAGACATGAAATCTTGCATCATTGGATTCGGGACCATTTTCAAGCATGAAAACAAGTAGAAGGCTTTGTTTTACACAGTGTGAGATGAATGCAGAGCTGGATGCCGATTACCTACCCTTGTTGTACAAGCTCAGTGGATGAGCTTGTATTTCGCTGCCTGTCATGTAAATAACATGTGGACTGTGCTAATATGTCTCCTAGGTCATCGTGAGTTTGTTTGTTTGTTGTTGTTGTTCTAGCAAAGTAAAAGCAAAGCAAAAACTCTGAAGAGATTGTCAAATAACCAAAATGACCGCCAGATTCTGTGCATCAAGGTAAAATAATGGAGTTTTCTCCAACTACTGCCAACATGTTTGCCAATACAGACATTTACCAGATCCTGACAACCAAAATCTCAGCTGACCTGAGCACAAAAGCTGTAAGAGAAACATACTGCAAGAAAACCCAGCTGTTACTGGAAATCCTTCCAACCCCACAACACGAAAACCAAAAAAGCATTCAAAACAACACTCAGTGAGAAATCGGAGACTACTGTGACCTGTAATCTGAACCCCCACGTGTTTGGTGCTGAAGATTCTTTTTGGAATGTCATCCAGGTTTTCGACCGCTTCCTCAAAGTGAATTTTGCAGACTATGACAGTTATGCCAAGTGTTTCAACCATTTGTCACTAAAGGTGAAATTTCAAATCTGAAAGGAGAATTTACTACTGACATGAACTTCTCTAACCCTGACAATGTGAAACTGGATGTGCTGGCTTTTTGCATCAGCCATCAAGACACTTCCCAATTTCAGCAAAGTGGCACGGCGAGCTTTGAGTGTACCCCCTGGATCTACTGATGCAGAGCACTTATTTTCAAAGTTGGACTACCTCCAAGACAGCACAAGGCTCAACATGAGTGAGGATACTTTGAAGAAAATTATGGAAGCGTACGCAAAAACTAGGATTTCTGGAAAAACTACTAGCTCTGAGAGAGAAAAAAAATATATCTTTGTACATTTAAAAAAAGTTTCAATTATAGTAAAATGTGTATATTACAAAAGTTGTTTTGTTTTTGTTCTTCCCCCTCCCCCCAGTTTTTCAATTTTTTTATTTTTAACCTGATTTCATCCCAGTTTTAATGTTTGGAAAATAAACAATGAAAAATTCCCTAGAAAATGCAGAACACTAACTTTATTATTTTGCCAAAATCATATCATAATAAAATCATGTAGCTGACCCATGACAATCTATGCGCACATCTTGTAGGTTGAGGGCTGGAAATCAATCTTCTTGCTCTAGAGCTGGAATAAGGCTGCTAGTGTGACGATCTTGAATGTCTGTACCTTCCCGTATTTGTTAAATGCCCTTAAATCTAGAATGGGCCTCCAACCTCCCCTCACCTTGGGGATCAGGAAATCATGGGAGTAAAAACCCCTTGCTCCAGGACTGGTTCTATGGTCCCAGGCATAACAAATGCTATATTTCCTGATGAAGTAGGTTCTCATGAGAAGGGTCCCTGAACGAGGATGGGGAAGGAGGGTTGGAATGGGGGCGGGACATGAATTGAATGGCGTAACTCTTTGAAATAATCTCCAGGACCCATCTGTCAGAGGTAATATTCTCCCAACTGCTGTGAAAAAGGGCCACGCAACTTCTGGAGGGGCATGACAGGTGCACAGATGGCTGATGTTGCAAGGTATAATTGTTCAGGCCCTCGACCAGCCCACCAAAAGTGCTTAGAAGAGGCAGTTTGAGAGGTCGC